CTCTCTCAAATAAATAAATAAAATCTTTAAAAAAAAATAAAATAAAAAAATAAAAAATCATCTATTTATTATCAGGATATGAGGTGTTTGGAGAAAGAACCTGATAATTGTTAAATAATGACTTTTTTTTTTCACTATGTCAGACTGTATGAGATACTTAAAAATGTGTTAATCTGTTTCTCTAGCGTTTCCTAAATTAAAGCACTTAGAGGTTTTCACTGATGCATTTTTAATGTGTCATCCAAGGTGTCAGGTTTAACTACGCCCTGCAGACTTAGAGTTGAAAGTGTTCTCTAGTTTAAATTAACAATATCCTTGCCAAAAGTCTTATTAAAAATTGCTTCGTTCACCAGTGAATAAAGTGTTTTATAGTTCATTAAAATTATGCTAAGTGATTATAATAAAATCTTTATAAAAAAGATATATTACTAAAAAAATAAGCCGTCAAGTAACAGAAGATATGCTAATGAGACATGATCACATAGTCCATATTATATTATTCAAAGGATGAACTCTTCTTAAAACATTTCTAAACTGTTATTGTTGAGAATATGAATTGCAGTGTGTATATCTTTATATTATCACAATGGTTATGTCTCATGTAATTAAAGTGATTTATTGAAAGCACATAAGCTTATTATCACACTCATCGATAAACTAATTATTCTCCATTAAAACACATACACACACACGATTTAGTGTAAAATCATTTCTGCTTCTGTCTGATAGAGGCAATTATTTCATTATTTTTTTCTATCTTTTGACTGACCCCACAAAATTTATTCACAAAACACATATACATCTTCTCTTCTGAGCTCATGAAACTTTCTTGTTGAATAATTTAACCTTAGAATAAATTATCAATGATAAGCTTCTTCTAAAGAATAAAATATTGCAATAATTCAAAGCATTACCATTTCTCTGCCAAAATGCATTTTGTCATGTAAGTATAACTCTTTGACCAGCATAATTATTCAGTTGCCCAAGTTTAGGGAGACATTGATCCCTTTCTTATTAAAATAACATTTTTCTTTAACAGCTGAGTGTGGGGCAGGATTACAAATGTGCAGCATGGAAAGTAAGCTTGTGGAAAATCAGAAGGAGAGTTTTAAAGGATGTTATCATCCCCAGAAGAGGAGATATGATGGAATTCATAATTATTTACTGGTTAACATACCATTCAAATATAGCATGTATTTTATACAGTCTTGCTTCTCAGAGGTAAATGCAGGTGTATTTCTTTTCCTACTTGTCACTGGATGGTAATACAATTACTCTAAATAACATGTAGGTCAGTCCTGAGCAGCAGTTACAATTTCCTGCCCTCAAGTTGCCTATTCAGCTCTTGTTTTCAATAGTATATACAATCCTGCATTACAAGAGTGCCACAAATAATATAATTTCCATGGAAAGAGGCAATTATTGGCAAGATGACGAAAATGATGAACAGATATTTAAGTAATGGGAAACCCCATGAGCTGATTCGCTTGTATACCAGGGAGATGTGCATATTTAAAAAGTAACTATGTCAACTTAGTTTTCCCTCTCTATGGTTGCATCACTTCTGAAAACAGAAGAAAACAAGAAGAGGAAGAAAAACTCTGTACTAGAGAGAATATCTAGCAATGTTATCTGACTATATTTAAGTCTTGGCCACAAAGTTCATAATTCTCAGGTTTTATAATCACCACTGGTACTCGCAGATAGGCTTCATATCAAAGCCCTGCTACAGAAAAGCAGGAGACCTCATTCTCATAAATCAAGATTCCAAAGATGAAAATGACCTGTTTATATGAAAATTTCACCTTTGATTTTGAGGACAGTTGTATCAAATATAAAATACCTATGTTTAAATGTAATGCAAATAAATTATATCCTTTTTCCAAAAAGAAAGAGGAAAAAGATGTAGACACAAGGACCTTTAAGGGGAAGGTTGAAATAATTAGAAAAGGGATACATTTCCACAAAATGGTAACATAGTAATACATAATGCTACCTAGTATAGCCACTCATCCCTTAGTTTCTCCAGAAGCACAATCTGCTTGAACATCACCCTTCTTCATTTTATCCCTGGAGGATGGAACTGGGGAAGCAGTTTCAGTGTGTGTGAAGGATGGCGGACTATGTGGTCACTGAAGTTACAATCCCCGGATTTTGAATTTGACACTCTGTTCTTACCACACTAATATGGATGAATACAGCAAATATTTTAGGGGACGGTGATGATTTGAATGAATTACCAGGTGTTCAGTATGTTCTCATAGAAAAAAACTAAATGAGTGAACTGATTTTCCTTTACTCAGCATTCAATATCCCTATTAAATTTTATACAACTGAAAATCCCTTAGGCTAAAAACCCCCAAGACATATTACCATACAAGCTAAAAATAATCTGCCAAGTACCCCAATAAGTGCAGAGCCAGACACAGGGAATTCTGTATCTTCAATGGTGAGCCAGAAAAATGTACCAGTCTGAATGTACAAATGGCTTATTAATAATAAATTAAAACTTTAAGAATTTTAGATATAAAAATAGTGTTGAACAGATGTTTATTATTCATTTTAATTTTTTTGTAGACCAAAGGAAAAGATGGGGATTTATGTTTACTTAATTTATCATTAAAATTGAATTTAAATATGAATTATTTAAAGAAGAATATATTTATTCTTTCTTTTATACTACAATAGATCATTCTTACTAATTAATACTAAATATAATATCCTGCTCTAGCATTATGTCTTAACTACATCTGGAAGAGAAAATATTGATATATATTAATGTATTACATCATTTTTACACAGGTATGTCATAATATAGACACAGAATGAGGAAAGCCAAATTATATCACTTTTAAAAAATACATACTTTTCATATAATACTAATTTTGAAGTACAATTACAAAGAAAAACATGTAATACAAACATGAACAGTGCAAACATTTCTTTAAGACTTTCTGAAACTTTATTTTGGTCAATAAAAAAACACAGTGAATACTAAGTCAAAATACTCAGCAACTTTCTTTAATAAATGCTTTTCACTTTATTAAAATATAAAGGTGATTTTTAATGTGGCCCTGACCTTTTTGTGAGCCAAGTTATCTTGCAGTCATTAATACTATAAGAATTGAGAAGAAACTGTACAGTAAGAAATACTTGTTAAAGCAAATTCAGACATTATCATACATACAAAAACATTTTGATGTATTGTCTAAATTCACAGTAATAAAAATGACAAAATTAAAGAAAAATTTAAGTAATAGCATGATTCAATCAGAATGGAAAAAAAAAAGATTGTCATGTTCCAGGGTCTAAAAAAATTACTCACTATTAAAAATGAATACTGACTTTTTAAATAGAAATTTGAACAAAGAAGATCTTTACAAATAAAATCCCTTTATTTCAAGGACTCTGCATATAAAAGTCAGTTTCATCTTGGTATTTATTTGTGTCCAAGAGTGATACCACCACTGAACAAATGAGAAGCTTAATTTAGATCTTACATATTTTACAAGTTATAAGAAGAGCCAGGTCTTTGTAGGTTACAGGAACCATAAACTCCTCTCACTCCCAAGAGCCATTTATTTCTTGAAGTGAGAAGAGGCCATGATGGAAAACTCTTCTTGCTACAGACTCCAAAGACGTAGTACTAGAGGGATTTTGAGTTTACAGAACCTCAGACTCAATTTTCAGTGGACAAAGACAGAGAGTCACACGAATCTTCCTTCTCTCTGGACTGGTCTCTACCCTAACCCAGCCATTTTATTCCTGATCTGGAGCAAAGACATTTTCTAGACCCTGTGGCACACACAACAGAAACCAGATGCTGAGAATGATGCTGAGAAGGGGACCAGGCATTAGTAAGAGGATGATGTGGATGTGAGTGATCAGTGTGATTGCTAGTTACTTAAGAAGCATCACATGATTTGCTTGAAGTTTATGGGAAAAAAATAACAAGAGTGATGAAATCCTGTAGTACAGTTTGAAGAGGTGTGAGAGAGATTTGGAAATGCAGCTGATAGTTCTTCTCAACAAGAAAAGCTGAAAGATCACATGCTAAGCCATTACCTTACTTGATCTTTTCCAGCTCTTCCTCATTAGCATTGTCTGTAAATGAAATAAAGCATTTTCATTATCTTATGACTCAAGTACAGAATAGGGCAGCCAGCGGTTTTCTAGAGAAAGCTTAACATTTAAACGGCAGTTTCCAGCAACGAGTATACAAGACAAAACTTGTTTATCACATACACACAGCTAAAAGAAGCACCTTTAACATTCAAGCAGTCTTTCTGGTGAGAGTTCATTTGCTTTATTCTTTTGTAGACAGAAATGAGACAGTATTTTTAAATAGAATGGAAATTTTGAGATATCTTAATTATTGGTTGGGGGGAAAAAAAAAAACCTCTTATTGAGTCTCATGATTGGCAATTGTTCCCTTTGGTGATGGAGGTTAAGGATGTACAATGACTTTACCAGGTAACTTTTCTCTTCAAACATGTTCAAAAGTCTGTCGTTTTGGTGGCATCTTAGAATTATCTCTGCTTCCAGTTAATCTTTAATTATATTGGGGTCTACAAATGTTTTCAATTGTGAAAAATGCTACATTAGTCTATCTTCCTGCTAAATGTTCAGCCATAACATGTCCTTTAAATCAGTTTTTTCTTTTTCTTTTTTTTTTTTAAGATTTTATTTATTTGACAGAGAGAGAGAGACAGCAAGAGAGGGAACACAAGCAGGGGGAGTGGGAGAGGGAGAAGCAGGCTTCCTGCTGAGCAGGGAGCCCGATGCGGGGCTCGATCCCAGGACCCTGGGATCATATGACATAAGCCGAAGGCAGATGCTTAACGGACTGAGCCACCCACGTGCCCCTTAAATCAGTTTTTTTCTGTCTGTGTGTTTCATAGTAAGAAGTAATTATGGCTACAAGTTATTTAAGGCTAATGGAGATCTTTAATGAGTGCCCAAGATCAGTGGTCTCTTGTATAAAGTAAGTCATAAAAATCCGAAGATCTTTTATTTACTCTCCAGTTTTAAATTTTTCTCAGTGAACACTGAGGTATTAAGTTCCTGATTAACCCTCTTTGCCCTCTCTTATCTTTAAGGCCGATGAAGTAGAGAATAGGGATTATTTGGAGAAAAGAATATAGAGATTGAAATGCTAGTCATATTTGTACATCAAGGAAGCATACTGGTGCCTTTAAGAAATATATCTCCTTCAGCAGAATTTACTATAAAGCAGGACTATTTCAGAAACTACTCATAAATTACAAAAATACAACGAAGGAAAGATTTTAATATAAGATTAAGTCATATAGAAGACAACCTTTGGCCTAAACCAAGACAATGGAATTACATAGAAGTTCTATGGTAGGAAATGAGAACATCATAAAATTGTCAAAGATAAGGATTCACTTATCTTCTTTGTAGATAGTGGTTTTATAAGTTGTATTTTCCCTGTATATCCTCTGTGTTAAATATTGACCAAAATATGGAAGAGTGATAGATTTCCTAAGGTTACAATAATTCCTAATTTTTTTTTTTTGAATGGAGCCAGGAAAGCAAAGCATTGTTAACAAACACTATTTATAGAAATATCTTATATGTTTTCTAAGTACTAATGTGCCATTTATTTTGAAGCAACAAAACCCACCATTGGGTTGTGGAGATGGTCATGGAGTGGCCATGTAATAAATACTTGTTGTTGATCTTAAGTGAGTTACTGTCATCAGCATCAGCACCACCACCTTCTCCCTTACCACTGAAAGGCAACTGGAAACCAAATACTTTCATGGCAGGCCACATTCACAACAACTCTACCAGCAGGAGTCAGACAATAAATGCTCAACTTTCTCAGAAAGCAGAGTTTCAATGAACAAAGAATGATAGTTCCCAGAGATAACGTTTTCAGTCAAATCAAGAGAGAACAACTAAGATAAATCAGAAAGTAAAATCTCGTAGCTCATGGCCATTTATTATCATCATCTAGTTTCTAAGAATCTCCTAAAATTCCATTCTGTAAGGGGCTAAGAGCATGAGGAAGAGTTCAATCTCAGGGCAACACTACTCAGTATAACACACATTCACTACTGCTGCTCAAAACCACATCCTCTAACTCAGAGCCACTGCATACAATAGCCCTTCAAGATGTAAAGCTAACTATAGGATTGGTATTTTTCCCGTCTCTCAAAACTGGCTTTACAAATAGGCTGCATGGTATCATTTTTCAGAATTGAGACACTGACACAAACAAAAAGTCAACAATTGCCCTGAGTATAAATATGAAAGATCTGGCAGTTATGGGGACAAATTCATTATTTTCCTGATTTGGTTTCTAGAATTCTATTATTAGATCCACTGACTCTCAAAATGTCCCTAGATTTTTAAAAATTATTTTGTTTATTTTTTTCATCATGATAAGTATATTCTTTAATCCCCATCCCCTATTTCACCCATCCCCCACCACGCAGCTGCCCTCTGGTAACCATCAGTTTGTTCTCCATAGTTAAGAGTCTGTCTCTTGGTTTGTCTCTCTCTTTTTTTTCTTTGCTCATTTGCGTTGTTTCTTAAATTCCACATATGAGTAGATCATATGGTATTTGTCTTTCTCTGACTGACTTACTTTTGTTTAGCACCGTACTCTCTAGCTCTAACTCTGTTGTTGCAAATGGCAAGATTTCATTCATTTATATGACTGAGTAATGTTCCACTGTGTATATATACACCACATCTTCTTTATCCATTCATCAATCAATAGACATTTGGACTGCTTCCATAGTTAGGCTATTCTAAATAATGCTGCTATAAACAAGGGGTGCATGTATCCCTCTGAATGAGTGTTTTGTATTTTTTGGGTAAATATCCAGTAGTGCGATTACTGGATCATAGGGTAGTTCTATTTTTAACTTTCTGAGGAACCTCCATACTGTTTTCCACAGTGGCTGCACCAGTTTGCATTCCTACCAACAGTGCAAGAGGGTTCCTTTTTCTCCACATACTTGTCAACACTTGTTGTTTCTTGTGTTTTTTATTTTAGCCATTCTGACAGGTGCGAGGTGATATCTCATTGTAGTTCTGATTTGCATTTCCCCGATGATGACTGATGTTGACCATATTTTCATGTGTCTGTTCGCCATCTGGATATGTTCTTTGGAGAAATATCTGTTCATGTCTTCTGTCCATTTTTTAATGGGATTATTTGGTTTTTGGGTGTTGGGTTCTTTATATATTTTGGATACTAGCCCTTTATAGTATATGTCATTTTAAAATATCTTCCCCCATTCCATAGATTGCCTTTTAGTTTTGTTGATTGTTTCCTTCTCTGTGCAGAAACTTTTTTATTTTGATGTAGTCCCAGGAGTTTAATTTTGCTTTTATTTCCTTTGCCTCAGGAGACATATCTAGAAAAATGTTGCTACAGGTGATGTCAGAGACATTACTGCCTGTGTTCTCTTCAAGGATTTTTATAGTTTCAGGTCTCACAGTTAGGTCTTAAATCCATTTTGAGTTTATTTTAGTGTACGGTGAAAGAAAGTGGTCCCTAGATTTTATAGCACGATTTCTGCTTCTTGAGCCAAGCCAACTAGCTAAATCATGGGTTTAAGTATCCCACTCCCGGGCTTCTTTTTCTTTTTAGATGGTTGGGTTAAGCTAGATTCAATAAAACTGAAAACAGTAGAAAAGTTTCAAAAAAAGGTGAATTTAACAAACATAGTATTACTACTGTTACCTTTGCTATCTGTGAGATGTTAGAGAAGAAAGATTGTTTGGGGAATGTTAAAGATAGGAGATAAAGCAAATTATAGAAAAATAAGATTTACGTTTTGCTCTATGATCTTAATTTTAACTGAGAAACATATGAATTTGTTTTTGAAAGCATCATCACCTAATATTATTACAGGATAATCAAACTTCATTAGCAGCTCAACTTTCTTTGAAGCCAGTGAAAGAAATAAGTAGTATAAAAATATGGCCTGTGATAGAGCTGTAGAACTGATTATGTTTTCATGAGATTCCACATTCTCAATCCATTTTTTACCTTTATTTTTTATTGTATTTTTTTAGGCAATTACATGGCTACTAAAGATATAAAAATAATCACAGAATCGCTAGATATTATAGTATAGACATATTACAAAACATTAAAATTTTATAGGTAGATTTAAAAAAAATGTTAGCTGTGAAATAATTCAGAAAAATTTGCAAAATAAACCAACATGAAAGAAGTATTTTTTTAATTTGCTAAAGGCCAACTGGGGTCAATTCATATGTTTCTTACATTCTTCTATTTTTTTAGCTTTAGCCAAGCAATTTGTAGGTCTAGTTTATCTAAGAGAGTGTGTAACACAAATTAACTCACTTTTATTTCACAAATTCTCCAATGAAGAAAGCTGTGGATTGAACTCTGCTAGAAAAAGAGCCAGAAAGAACTCAAACACACTATCAGACCAAAATACCATATACAGGACACACATGTATGCACTACACAATTTTGTAGGTTCAAAAACAAGACATGCATTCAAAACAGAAAGGACAGCTGTGTCATGCAGCTCATCAGCATGCCCCTGCCCCCCATGGAGATTGTGGTTTCTCATACACACAATGCTGGAAACTTAAAAAATATATATCTCTATATATCCGTTCACATCTGAGTTTTTTTTTAAAGACTCAATGATGAACTCAATGGAGAAGACTTTAGTATAAGCAATTTTGAAATACTTTTGCTATTACTCATACTATACTCCTTAAATTGCTGTAATTAGACATTGCATGTTTTAGAGGCTTTAGTAGATTCAGTAGGTTGATAGGATTTTCAATTCATTCTTCAGTTTTACTGATTTCTAGAACTGGCAATCCACACAAGGAGAAATCATCCCAACTGCATCATTCATGGAATGTACTGTCAGTATTAAGAGTGCTTAAAAAGAAAACACAACTCACAAGATAACTGATTAAGAAACTTTACAACTCTGTGATGCTAAATACTCTGTATTTCCAGTTAATTTATTCCTACTTTTGATAGCATTTTCTTAACATTAATGTTGGTTCTATTTCCTATTTGATTGTTAAACTTTGTTACTAGCTCTTGAAACTCATGTCTTCCATTCTCTACTTTAACACATATAAAATATTTAGCGGAGTTTTGTAAATACAAGCACAAGAATAAACACATGGTTCTTGGGCTAAAGTCTTAAATCCCCAAAGCTTAAAATAGATTATTTCTGTGCTAATAATCAAAGAGAATAGAACTCTTATAATTTTGATGTGTGAGGATCAATGCAAAAATCATCCTCTATTCCTTCCCTATTCATCATGCTAAATATTAAATGGAATTCTGAAGCCTTTAGTACTGATTTCTGGCCTGCTGCATTTGAATTTTTCTAAATAAGATTTGTTCCTGGATAATTTGTGAAAGTTTGGCATACCATTTTCAAGGCAGCAATATGTTATATATTTCAGACATAAAAATTTAAAGATACATTGGATCTCTGATTGTTTTTAACTAAAAAACTTTAAATATATTCCAGGGAAACATACAGAGCTAATAGTAGACACGTTACAGAATGGAGAAAATACAGTGATACGCTTCTAATGCATTGTCATTGTTAAATACCTTCATAGAGCAATACAGATTGATTTTAAGCATATGATCATTAATGTACTAATTTTAAGAACTCAAAAGGAAACTAAATAAGTATTTAATATTGTTTGTGATAACCTCAGGAACTTGAACACTGAAGTAAGGAAAAGAAAAAAAACCTTAAAATACCTTTCCCTGGACCTTTGAAGTATTCCTTCAAATCCTCATAGACATTCATCTGCAACTCATTGAACAACTACTGGTACAGAAAGCTGGACTAGCTTTGAGGGCAGTCATCAAAAGAAAGGTAATCAGAAGCAATAATTTATATATATATATGTTTATGTATATATAAATATAAATAATATAAATATATAAATAATATATATATATTTATTTATTTTTATTTTTATTTTTTTTAACCAGAAGTGATAGGATAAAAGAGGGAGGTGAGGTGAAGTATGTCAGGTAGGGCAAGTGACAGTGAAGAAAGCCTAGACTTGAGAGAAGGTGAGCTCTGTTGGAGTTTGTATGAATGGGGCAGAGGTTACCAGTGAGGGAATATACGGTGCTCATTGGAGAGCTTTAAAGCCCCTCATCAGAAATTTCCATTTAATTAGAGAAATAAACACAGGTCACTGAGCGCTTAGAAGAGAATAAAGAGGACATTATAGGACCTGGCACAATGCTTATAGATGATCAATAAATGTTTTTTGATGCTTGTTCAGCCAACAAATGGTCCTTGTTCAGAGGCTCAAAATCTCATAATTAGTGTTGCTTCACAGTTTTAGAGACCTTAATAAAATAGCTATAAAACTGCTATATAGAACAAAACAAACAAAAGAGAAGCAAATTTGTCTTTGTTAGAAATTTTCACCCTATAAGCATAGGCTTAGAAACCCTGATTCAAATCTAGGACAGCAGACTCCCTGGGATACTGGGGATGCCATGAGAATTTCCCGTAGGGGATCTTTCCTACTTCCGGCCCTCCGCCTGAGTCAGTTCACTTCCCCACAACCAACCCCGTGCTCCCAGCTATTGATCACACCCACAAGGAGGAGCAAGTGAAACCATACTGGACACCCTTCTCTCTACTGCTCAGGTGTGACTGAGGTCAGGATGGTCACCAGCCAGAACTGGCTCAAGTATAGGCTGCAACGGTCATGCTTTTCTGGGGCAGTGAGTCTTCGCTAAGCTACTCACTTCTCTGGTGAAGAAGAGAGAAGCCAGGTGAAAGTCAATGCTGGTGTGGGATGGGAGAAGACTTCCTTTTTCAGTTGCCACAGAGGGATGAATTCAGTGCTATTTGGGAATCTGAAGGGCAGGGCATGGAGTAAAGCAGTGAAGGAAGAAACACTTGGCAGTAAAGGATTTTCTTTCAAAAAGCTGGGGTAGTCAAAGGGATTTGAATTGAGAAAATGGCATGAAGATTTCAGGAAGAACTCTTTGTCTTAAGGGCAAATGGGGCTGGAGAGAGACAATGAGGAAAATGGAAAAGGAAAAAAAGATGAACAATACCAGATTTTTTTTTAAAGATTTTATTTATTTATTTGAGAGAGAGAGAATGAGAGAGCACACGAGAGGGGGGAGGGTCAGAGGGAGAAGCAGACTCCCCGCCGAGCAGGGAGCCCGATGCGGGACTCGATCCTGGGACTCCAGGATCATGACCTGAGCCGAAGGCAGTCGCTTAACCAACTGAGCCACCCAGGTGCCCCAATACCAGATTTTTGATGAGCAACTGTTTCATGCAACCCACCTGTTTTCTTCCTATTCATGTTTGATAAATCACTGACGATCAGCAGTCAGGGACTGTAATACTTTTAAAGGACGTTTTTCTAATTAGAAAGACATTGTGCTGAAATAACAACTTGGAGCAACTATGGAGATGGAAAGATTTTTATAAGAATTGTTGAAGAACAAACAGGGTTGGGAACCACTCTGCCTGTGCTGACACACATTCGTGTACAAGTTAGGATAACTCAGCAGCTTCATCTTGGTCCCAACTTGATCTCTCAAGCCCTCAGTTTGAGGTTAGACCACTTAGTAAATATCCCTTTTCTGCAAAAATTCAGCAGACTCTCCATCATCAAATCACCCAAATAACTACATCAGTCACGATATCCTTCTAATTTCCAGTCATATTGCCAGTAGGGATGGTTTGGGATACGTAAGACCTCAGGCACTTAGGCATTTTCATTTATGAAGTGCTGTTCTTCATTAAAAGAACAAAGAATCTCAAAACAAGATTCTATCACTAAGTTTTGTTGATTTTACCTCTTATACGTAAATCTGCTGATTTCTTTCCATCTCTACCTTGGACAATCCTAATCCAGACCTCCATCACCTTCCACCAGGATTTTTGCCATAATTGGTCCTAACTGGTCTCCAAGTACCCATTCTCTTCCTTCCATCTGTTTTCCACAATGTAGCTACACAGCTATTTCCAAAGGCAAAAATGATTATGCCACTTCTGATTTATAGACTTCCCCTTGCTCTTTGCAGAATGACCACAAACCTTAACTTGGCCAAGAGTCCCTACACAGTCTGGGTATCCCCTTTCCACTGTCATCATTTGTCATGATCTCCCACACTCTCCTTTGCTTCCACCTTTTCTCAGCTCCAGGACGTTTTCAATTCCTGGAATGCGGCATTGTTTCTCTGGTCACAGGGCCTTTGCACATGCTGTTTCCTCTGCTTCAATACATTCTCTTTTCCTGGTTTTTGTCTTATTAACTCCTATTCACACTTTAGACCTCAGGTCCCATTTGACTTCCTTAGAGAATTCCTGTCCCCCTAACTAGACCAAATTCTACTGTATTTGCTCTTAACAGCAACACACCCCTCTCTTTCACAGAACTCAAAACAGTCATCATGTTAAATTTCCTTCAATAATTATTTGATCCCTGAATTCTCCACTGGATAGAAGTTCTATAGGATCCTAAGGGTCTTGCATAGAACCTGGCTTATAGTAGGCTTTGGCCAATACTAGGATTATTTGGATAAAGTAATAAACAGACACATAATTTATTCCTAGGTGTGGATTAGCCAGCTAGGATATACTCCTTGGCTTGTACTGGGTGATGTATTGTACTATACTGCATACTTGTGCTCCATAATGTATTCTGAATTGGGGACTTCTACAATGATGGGATTCTATTTCTAAATATTCTCTGTAAAAAAATTTCCTCACCTACCCTTCCCTTCGCACACATGGGCCTATGCATATGCACACTTACGTGCATTTTTTTTTGTGGTGCTAAGTTCTCACAGTAGGTTTTTGTAGGACTTGTTAGAAAAGAGAAAGTTATTTCTCACTGACTTAAGTATGGATAAGTAAATCATACTCAGTAAATACAGTATATGAATACATGCGCTTATTGTTTAATTTTTAGAAAGGAGAGAGAAAAACATTTGTTGAAAATGGTGCATTTTTCAGTGAGTTTAAAACGGTTCCAAATTTGAAGTTGGGATTCACTATTCTAATCTACAATCCAGGGGAAAATGTCAATAACACCTTTCCAGCAGACAACATATACCAACTTTAGTCATGCATTATTTTAAGACAGCAATACACACAGTGCTGAAATAGGGTATTTGGACTTGCCGAAAAAAATTATGTTTACTCCTAAAATGTGTTCTAATCAAAACTAGTGGGAGCAGCTCCCAGTACACGAAAGCACACTGAGTCTACTAAATAATCTCTGATAAATTGTGGCAGGAAGTTCACTGGCAAGCATACCGATGCAGGTCAAACCTGGTATTTTTTAATGTCACTTCAACATGCTGGAGTAATTGGCTCCTCTGTATCCCTTGTCAGTTTCTCACAACAGCATGGTGTGCAAGGAAGTACAGACAGCCAGTGCTGGAAAATGGGTAACATCGATATGGAAGCCCATCAAGAAGATGAAAAGTATTCACTTCTCATTCAGCAAACAAATACCAGAAAGCAGAAACTCTATTATAATTTCACCTCATTTTTCTTTGTTATGGTACGCCTGATAGTACGGTCAAAATAGTAGAGTCTGGATACCTCAATGTGGAATTCCAAATATTCGCTTCAATAGCAAATGTATTCCCTGAATGCATACTGCCATTTGCCTACAACATAACATCTCTGAAATTGGGAAATGAAATTATAATAAAAGATGCAAACGTGTCCCTTATTTACTACAAGAGGTTCCGATCTGGAGCACAGAACAGGAAATTTGAATTGAAAAAGATATAAAATGCAGGGACTAGAGATACCCAGGATACTTACGGAAACAAAGAACAGGCCCGATTTTCATACGCTGCTTCTCTTTATTATCACGTCTGGGTTCAAAGAAGGCTCACGACATTCCACCAAATGAGAGCAAGAAAGCACTCCTACTAGGCTGTGGGGCAACTTACCACATCCCTGTGTTCTCCTTCTTTAGGGGTAAGGATGATGGAGAGCAAAATGACTCCAAGGTAATGGTCAGGATAATGGGGATCTTTCAATGTTAGGGTCACATCTGTGGGCCTATGAGATAAAATATTAAGACTGTGAGCAGTTGTTAAGTGGATAAGCCAAAAATATGTTCTATATTGACAATTTATTATTTTTAAGAAGAAAGTCAATTTTGTCTTCTTTACTTTTCTGGTACAAATTCTGTTGCTATTGAAATATCATTAATACGGGTGCCTGGGTGGCTCAGTTGGTTAGGCGACTGCCTTCGGCTCAGGTCATGATCCTGGAGTCCCAGGATCGAGTCCCGCATCGGGCTCCCTGCTCGGCAGG